GGGTATTGTGAAGAGGAAGATGCGATATGCCAGACCCAACAATGCAGAAGAGCTGAAGGCTACAACACCTGAGCAGTGCCACAGACTGATCGACTCCATGCCACGCCGCATTGCTGCAGTAGTTCAGGCAAAAGGAGCCCCAACTAAGTACTGAGTGCTGTACACGCTCATACTTTTCAGTTGGCCAACATTTCAAAAAATCCTTTTTTCGGAGATACTGAATTTGGGATTTTCATTAGTTGCGAGTTTTAATCATCACAATTAAATGAAATAAACATTTGAAATATATCAGTCTGTGTAATGAATGAACATAATATCCAAGTTTCACTTTTTGAATGGAATTACTGAAATAAATCAACTTTTTGATGATTATAATTATATGACCAGCTGTATGTCTATGCAGTCAATGATGTAAACCTTTTCCATCTTGCCCTTTTTTCCTTTAGTATAGTCGCACGACTTTAAAACAAGGGTTGTGGTGAAATGCTTATTGATTTGATGCAACCAGCTTTAATTATAGAAGTGGTGAACGATATAACAAGAAAACGGCATTAAAATGAATAGTCACAACAATGCACAATTTTCAGGATTACTGTAACGTTTTAAGGTTGATGTTTATTGACATATATTTTCACTGAAAGGTCTAACAATACACATGGTCCATACTTAAACATGGCACTTTGCCAAGTGCTTAGATCTAATCTAAGACGAATGGTTGAGTGTAAGAAACTCATTAATTAGGAGCAAAGTGTCAGCTGAGTACTTCCTCCATGGTATCTCACGGTTTTAGGTAACTATAGAGATAAAACAACCAGGGAAATAGTGCTAGAGCATTAATTACTTCCCTTGCTTCAGAAGGATCGCTGACTCGATTATTTCCCCTACATAACCTGAATGCAGCTCTGGTTTCCTCTGCAGCAACAATGGCCACTAGCTGTCAGACATGGAGACCGGACCGAGGACGGTGCTTTAAAACCTACGGAATTGTTACTGTTTTGTTTATGGACTTGGTATTACAATGTGTTAACGGTATGTTTATGAGACAGAGTAACACGAACTTGGCTTGCGTGTATGGTTAGATTACATTTGGGCCATTACTAGCGTTAGCTTCCCCACAGAGCTAGCATTAGGTTAACGCTAGTGTTACCTATGTTAGCTAGTTAGCAATGAAAACATGGGTTGCAGTAGATGGAGCAAATCGAACAGTTGTTTTTCTTATGTAACACTAATTTCTGGTTAATTGTGTAGCATTTAATTTACAATACACGGGAGCTAACTATTGACTGTCCCTGCTAATTTGCAAGATGTGTCGCTAACAGCTAACGCGCCTCGGTGAAGTAAGTTAAAGAACTTTAATTAACGTCAGCTGGCTTAACTTAGGGTAATGATATAACTGCACGCGTTTTTAATTACCAACACATGTACTAACGTTAGACTTCTAATTTATATTTAACCATACGTTATTGACGTGTATGTGTTACGCAAAGTAACGTTGTGTTTTATAAAATCATAGCAGGGTGAGTGAGTTGGACCCGTAACTATTCTTTATCACTGTTTGCTTGTCAGGATACCTGAGCTCTCCTCATGTTGGTCAGGATCGCACCTACAGCAAAGTTACCCAGGATAGACATGTCATCGCCACCCCAGTGGTACCTCCCTCAGGTAAACTCATTAATGTTAGTCAACAATCAACATTAATCATACTGACTGTAACTTAACCTTTAACTATTTTGCCAAGACTACATATAAATCAAGGGACCCTCTCTTGATGGTTTTTGTAGCACATACTATAAAGAAATACAACACTATTAAAAATAACAAGTAACATTCGTTTCTGGTTAAAAACATGCTCACTGACCATAGAAAGCGATTCCTCATAAATAGCCTGGAATCATAAACAGCAGATCTGTGCTATCCATACCGAATTATAGTCTGGTTATGTAACCTCTGTCATTTAGTACAGTCATTATCTTTCTTAAAGTGAAGTTGTCTGTGTTGTGTTATAACATACAAAGAAGACCTGTGCCAACTTTCAGAAAGCGGGATTAGTGGAAAATTAGAGAGTATGTTAAGCCTGAGATGAAGGAAACTCTGGGTTTTCTGTTTTACAGACCGAGATGACCGCTTTTATGATCAATCTGTCATCGATGTAAGGACAGACAGTTATTTCCAGACATCGTGGATTTATCCTCGGCACAGAATAAAATCTGTCCATTGCGACTACTTGGACAGTTAATACTGCTTTGACCACTGTTAATCTGTATAAAACTAATCAATGAACAGTAATTTTCATATTGTGATTAGTCGCACTGATTGGAACATTACTGTCGTAGTTATCATGATGTAAATGATGTGAATATTTCTGAGTGAGGATGACTGTGGTGCAGCTGAAAGAAATAAATATAGTTTAAAAGTTTTTCATTATTAGCTGCTGATAATCTGAATGTGTTTTGACAGCATTTCATAAAATACGAAATGAGCAAGATTTTATTAACGTAAAATAGACATACAACTTTACAGTCAGTTTGAACCTAGACACATTTTCCGCTGCAAAAAAATAATTAATATGCTAAGCCACTGGGTCGGACTATAACTTTACAATCATAGGTCCGTGAGTAAACTGCGTCTATATTGTACACATATTTCACTTTTAGGTAGCCGATAGCCACCGTCATCTGTTCCCGTCAGGTTACAGCTGAATTTTATAGCCTATTTCAAAATTGAATGTAGCCTGATAGACCTAACAGACAGACAGACAGAGAGAGAGGGCGAGAGAGGAACAGAGAGAGAGAGGGCGAGAGAGGAACAGAGAGAGAGAGAGGGCGAGAGAGGAACAGAGAGAGGGCGAGAGAGAACAGAGAGAGAGAGAGGGCGAGAGAGGGATAGAAGGCAGCCTACACAATATACACAGAGGTACAGACAGTAAAGGTGATGTTGCTATAAACTAAGTGAAAAATGGTACAGATATTTATAGTAGTGTTAATGATTATAATAACAATAGGACTAATAACAATAGTTGTTGCAGAGGGTGTCGAGCAGGAACACGGGGGCAGCAGGTGACTTGCAACCACAGCTCCAGAGCCAGAAACACCTGCAGGAAGTGATAGGAGGAGAGAGGAGAGGGACGAGAAAGCACAAGACTACCGGAAAGTGGAGAAGTTGAGTTGGTAACATGCAATAATGGGATGAGGTTGCATACAGAGGGAGAGAAAGTAGAGGAGAGAGGAGCTCAGTGCATCATGGGAAATCCCCCGGCAGTCTAGGCCTATAGCAGCATAACTGAGGGATGGTTCAGGACTCACCTGAGCCAGCCCTAACTATAAGCTTTATCAAAGAGGAAAGTCTTAAGCCTACTCTTAAATGTGGAGATGGTGTCTGCCTCCTGAACCCAAACTGGAACCTGGTTCCACAGGAGAGGAGCTTGATAGCTGAACGCTCTGGCTCCCAGTCTACTTTTGGAGACTCTAGGAACGACAAGTAACCCTGCATTCTGGGAGCGCAGTGCTCTGGTGGGGTAGTAAGGTACTATGAGCTCTTTTAAGATAAGATGGTGCCTGACCATTAAGAGCTTTGTAGGTAAGAAGAATGATTTTAAATTCTATTCTGGATTTTAGAGGAAGCCAATGCAGAGAAGCTAGTAGTACTCACAGCCATAATTTCAGCTTGTGGTAAAACGGTGCAACGTATTTAATGGGCATTTTGCATGTGAAAGTACAAATTACACACTTTTTCCCCAGTGGGGAAGCAATATCCAAAAAACGTTCCGTTTTATTTTAATGCAAATTCGGAAAGTATTCATTATTTGTCACTTGATAGGCACACGGTATTGTTATACATCAACATTAGCAGTAAAAAGAATCACTTTCACCACTGAAAACATAGTTATGGATCTTACATTGCATTTCTGTCAATAGATCCTCAGAAATATTACACACTGAACCTTTTTAAAAATATTGTTTTTCTTTCCCACCCTGTATCATATCAGATACATATCAGAACTTTAGTTGTATGCCACATTTCATGCAAAGACGTGGCCCAAAGTACTTAACTTAACAAGATCAGACTATACATAATAATAAATAAATAATTAATTAAAAAACAAACAATAGGTAAAATATCAATAATAAATAGAAGAGGATATATTACTCTTGTGTTGTCCAGGCTTTGAAGAGTAAATGGTTTTTCAACAGTGCAAAAACAGCCTTAATGGAGCAATTAGGAGTGAATGGACTTGTTCAGGGACCTTTTTGTTAAAGCAGAGGCAGAGTGTTAGTCATTCACCTTCAATAGCCTTATTTTCCCAATTTGGCAAGAGATTCAGCAGGATGCGGCCACAAGCCTGTTGCCACACTCATTATTGATCCCAAACATAAAGTCATAAAATTAACTCACCAAAGCTTTGTTACATTACATTGGTTCTTCTAGCTGGAAATGGAAGAACACCTGTAACTTTATGTTTGCAGCGTCTCCTGCAGATGAAGAGAGCTACGCTTCCAAGTGTCCTAGTTGGGGACTGTGCAGTCGCCTGCCAGCTGATTGCATTCACTGCAATTACCAACACAACTGCACCTACAGGAAACCAGCTTCCTTCACTTGTAAACCCAAAAAAGGAGTTCAGTGTATTGTAAGTAGCAGTTTATCTTGTGTTCTGTGCTGCATAAAGGTGGAGTAAACTTGAAAGTTTATACATTGTTTAGCTCATTGATTAAAAAGGGAAATGAAACATGGCACATAAGGTCATGTTGTGCTTGTAGCATTTGTGTCATCTAAGTGTTTCTAGTCAAAAGTCCTCTAGGCAAATAGTCACGTGTGGTGATAGAAGTCGGGATTTTAAGAAACAGCTAACTGTGTAGTAAAGACCTGTTGTGTTTTTTGTATTTGTAGGGAGAGTCGGGACAACAGCAAGCCAACTTTTCTCTCTCCATCCCCTGTCAGTTCTGCTGGCAGCTGGACCCGTCCCAGTACCGCTGCTCAAACTCTACCAACTGTATGACAGTGTCTTGCCCACGCAAGCGCTTCAACGCCACCTGTGATGTGTTAGACCATGTGCATTGTTTAGGTATGATAAAGGCTCAACTGTAAAGTGTAATTTATACTTCTGCGGCAAATCGACGCAGAGGCTACGCCGTAGCCTGACGTGCACCTCCTCCAAAATGTAACTACACATCGCGTCAATGCGGACCGTAAGCACTGTGATTGGTCGGCTGGGTAGCCTCGCAATGCTTCGGAGCCGACCGGAAGTGCCCCGTGCTTTGTAGTAACTTTTACTAGCAGCCAAAACGGCGGCTGTAACATGGTGGATCAATATATTTGACCGTCACAACCCGAGTGTGATCCATTCAGTCGATAACATTTGAAAAGGCTACACCAGCCGCACGTATACAATTTTACCCCCAATTCACGTTAGCGGAGCGCTAAACCAGAAGTTAGTCTTCTCGACCGTCAAAAGTCAACACAGTGGATGCTGTAGCGCTACCGGCGAGTAGCGTTTGGGGGTGAAATTGTAGAATAACAGATACACCGACGCACAAGCATAAATGCCTGGCTACGTGTGTAGCCTATGGCATAGCTACGCATGCTTTCAGTGGGGGTAACTGTGTTTCTGTGAGCTTTACAGATGTGAAAAACATGTGAATTGTTAGCCATTTGTGGTTGCCCTTAAGTTTCCTATGCAGGGTTAGGGTCTGTTAGGAGTTCATTAATGTGATAATGAACCATTTTTCAAACTAAATGCACAACATGTATGGAGAACAATATTTCACAAAAAATAATGCCGAGTGTTGCCTTGCTTTGTTTTTTTTTTTTCTGAAAAAATGTGTTCAGTCATGCAAATTTCTTTTCCTGAAATGTGTCCACTGAATGTCTTTATTTCTTCTTTAGGTAAAAGGCGCTTTCAGAAACGTTTATTTTGTAACTGGACTGGTGGCTACAAATGGTCAACAGCATTAGCACTCAGGTAAACCTGCCACTAGTATCACAAATTATGGCCAGCGTAGATGCTGAAAACATTATTTTTGAATCACTAACAGTAGCTTTGTTTCATCTGTGTTTTCTCTCATTTCTTTCTGTAGCATTACGCTTGGTGGTTTTGGGGCAGATCGGTTTTATCTGGGCCAGTGGAGAGAGGGTCTAGGCAAACTGTTCAGCTTTGGAGGCTTGGGCATTTGGACTTTGATAGATGTTCTTCTGATAGGGGTTGGCTATGTGGGACCTGCTGACGGTTCGCTCTACATCTGAAGCAGAGCTCTGGAGGTTTACACTTCACACTCAGAGATTGAAGATCTGATATGCTGTGTTCTTTGCATGTTTGCCTTCCCAACCTCGCGGTGCAACACTTCCTCTTCCCATCTGCTAACAGGCAGGAAGTGTTTTCTACATTACACCAACGATGACTCTACCCACACAACCATCAGATCAATCCCAATCATTCTGCGTTCATCCCCTGTTGAGATTCTGCAGATGGAGCTGTGGAGGGGGATGAGGAGCTAGTAATTATGTGTATCTGGTTGGTTTGACTAAACTGCTGGTTAGGCTCTGTCATGCTGATATATAGATAGATTTGGTTTCCTGCGGAGCATTGCTTTCACAGACCTCCTGACACCTTGGAGCTGTGTGTTGCTCCTCCTTATTCCAAGGTAAATTCATCAATGGGGGTCAGATGGTGACATTAGACACAATAGACAGGTTGAAAGGTAATATTTATGCCCAGAAAGAAAGCATGAATATGCAGAAGGGAAATATGTTCATGTGTTTTATTGACAACAAATGTTTGTTCTTGTGGATGAATTTAACTGTTATTTTACATGTACTTTATTTTTTCCCTACAATTAGTCAGCAGCACGGGCCACAAGTGTAAGAACAATGCCCTGAGGGCTGGATGAATGATACCATGGCTTTTCAAAAGCTCAAGTCAAATGTTGCAAAATGAAACTTTGACATTGATAAAGTTCTTATGTTGTATAAATAAATACATAAGAGCTACTGTATGTTTAAACAGCAACTGGAACTGGTAGAGAACCAGAAAGTAATGCAGCGGCTAGAACCTATAACTTTTGTTATCACTTCCTGCAATATGTACTCATCTGATTTTGTGGGAGAACGCACAGAAAATAATCTCTAACAGTGTATGTTTGTACATGACAAATATTGAAACACTTGTGTTGCACTAGCAAACTGCAGTTAGTTGTGGTATCCTGTGTTGGAGATATCCTGTGCATTCAGCTAGTAATTTTCTAGAACACTGGGCTTCCCTCTCACTACATGTAAATATGTTTTCTGTTTTCAGCCTCAGGTCACAGTTTCATCTGTTTAGAACACTGTAAATGACATTTTTTAAGTTATGTAAATAAAATTGTAAAATCAAATGTGTTAATCTAATTGTCCTCACAGTATAGTGCTGGATATACTAGAAGCATGGCTAAATGTTTTAATTTACTTCCTAAACAATTTTGACTAGCATTTCTACATTGAGGAACCACACACTGAATGCTAAGATGTGTTTCTGGAGCTCTATACTTTAAAAAGAGGCCAGCATCATTATCATCAGGGAACAGGACAGATGCTTTTTTCCAAGAGGCCGTGATCTTGGACCCTTTTGCTTGAACGCTGTTCTTGTAGCATCAGAGGAATTCAGAGCTGAGGTCGTCTTCACAGATGTCTGTGCATTTCCCACGTTAAACACAGTGAGTAATGCCAGAAGCCCTTGTTACCCACAGGCGTGTGTGATAGAAGGTGGGGGTAACCTAGAGGCTGAATGCTCCCTTCCTAAACTGTTATGGGTTTTTGAGCAAGGCACCAAATTGCCTCATACAATGGTTTAACATGTTAAACCATGTCAGTTATTTCAGTAAATCAGTTACACATTTTTACAACAGCACTATTTAATTCACCAATTCATGTAGATACAATATATCCGTGCTCATGCTGCATAATGTGAGGAGAAAAAAAAAAAAGTATCACAGGAGGGAAGGGGGGGGGGATCATTTCCCATCTAGAGCTTTGTTTTTGTATCGACTTTTCCAATTGGCTGCTTTGCTGAGACTGTTGTAAATTTACTCCACCCTAATTCTAGTTCCTCAAATTTGGCACCGCCCACCCACAGCTCCCACCCACAGACTGATGCAAGTGTTTGTCACACATACTGTGTTGAGGAGGAGACTTGGAAATGCTCACCTATTTACTGCAATACCACAAGTGATTTTTTTCCCCCACTTTTTGGAAACTTATAATTTAAATCCTGACAAATTACTCCGTAAATTGGCATCCACAAGATATTACCTACGATTGTTGCTACTGACTGGCCCAGCATGAGCCCAGTTTGTCTGAATCATCCTGTGTAGGTATGAGTAGGTTTTCTTGCATTGTGAACTTCTGTAAACCGTCAATGGGTATAACATTTAAAGCATATTGAATGGATGTGTTTATCCATACATCTATGTATATCAGTGAGTAAATGATACATGCATTCAAAACTGTTATAACAAGGGGATGGTAGAGTACTTAGTTTAACACAAAGCTGAATGCACAATGACATGGAAAACTAACTTCTACAATACTAAGATCAAACACAAAGCTGGAAGGCTCTTCTCTTTAGATATAGCCTGATCACATCTTAGTAATCATGTCTGGAGTAAACAGCTAAATTACTCCACTAAATAGCTTTTTATTCATACATCAGTGGCTACTGCCCAATTATGAATAATGGTCAGAGTGGTATTTGGTTTTGCGGTCTATTATGATATTCCCATTTTCTGTGAGTATGAAACCATCCTTAATGAGAATTATATAGAACTTCATCTTATGAGAATAATAGTTTAATTTTGCGGCACTTATCCCAAACAGTCATTATTCACACTGTTAGAATGAACAGTCATTTGGAGTTGAACCAAAATATTGGCCGTCAAAGACACATGATATCACGACTTCCTGATTATGAATTGCAAATTATGCAAAGAGGAGAACAAAAGTTTATTCATCCCTCTTGCGCAATCCCACTTAGTCCCACCGCAGCTCTGAATTTGAGCATCGGCTCTGACCCTCTGTCCTCCCATTATGCTCACTCCTACAGGAGATAACATCTCATACAAAAAGAGGATAAACAGAATGCTGTAACCGCATGAATTCAAAGTCTGACCACTCCATAAGCATCCAACTGTGTGCTCTCGCTCACACTTGGATGGTTGCTAAGGAGTATTTGAAACCACCTAAGGACACGACAGAAATTACAGTGACTATAAAAAGTAATAAACCAAAATGGAAGAAGTCCATGGGTTGTGAACACTGAATCACAATGGAGTAATTAAAATTTTGTTTATACTAATCAGCAGAGAGGGCCATCAAATGACAGTGAAGTGAAAACAATGATCTAAATTAAGAACAAATGAAAAACACAAAATGATTGCCTGGGTAAGTGCTCACAACCTTTGCTATGACATCCAAATCATTATTAGTGCAGCCAATAATGTTTTTTTAAAAAAAAGGCACAGAATTAGATAAATGGAGATCACCTGTTTGTAATCAAGAAATGACAAGTGATTTTAAGGGTCAGTGCACACGTGTGTGTAAAGTGTAACAGCTGGTTAGTCATTTCCAGGGTAAGAAGACAAGTGAATGTTCCAGACAAGTTTGCGACAAAGCTAATTATATAACATTTCCAAGACTGAATACAAATACTTTGACACAAAAAGTAACATGGTCTTCCAAAACTGAGCTTTTTGTGCATCATACATACTGAATCCTAAATGAAGCATCATGCTGTGGGGACGCGTGTCTGCAGCAGGCCCTAGAAGGCTTATGAAAGGAGGGGTCAACTTAAATGCAGCACAATACAGACAAATCAGAGGAAAATCTGTTGCAGTCTGCAAGAGAACTGTGGGAGGCAATTTTCCAGCAAAACAACCCCAACAAAGCCAAAGCTTGACCGGAATGTAAGGTATCCAAAACAACAATGATACCGTCCAATTCAGAACAAACCTCAATCCAATCAAGCATCTGTGACGAGACTTGAAAATTGCTGTTCAATCACACGGTCTCCATGCAACTTAACAGAGCTTGGACAATGGATGAATGAGGATGTACAGAGGCACAAACCTGACAGACTTATCCACATAGACTCAAAGCTGTAAATACTACCAATAAGGTTCTTCTGCTACATATTGACTGGAGGAGGGCAATACCTGCGCAACCAGTTGTGTGCATCATATTTGAATTCAATCAGGATCATTTGCAGACATTCACAAAACATTTCATGTTACTCAGTGTCAAAAACAAAAAACGCAGTTACATCCACTACATTCATTATTGTAAGACAGCAAAGTGGTCTAAGTGTTAAAAAAAAACCCATTTCTTGGCATTGCACATACCAAGATACAGGCAATTTGAATAAATTACTTGTGCAACTGGTCTCCTCCTGTTTTGTCAGTGTTCGGTTCCTTATGAGGGTTGATCTAGCTTATAATCCAACTCTGCTATCCTCCCATCTGTGCAATGCATTTAAACAACCCCCCCCAAAACTACGAGTGTGCCAATTCTGATTTCCAAGTCTAGAATTGCTTTTATGGTCCTGGCTCAGCAAGAGTATCTCACTTGAATCTTATTTACACATTGAAGCAAAAAGATTAGATTGAGATTTTTTTCAGACCATCATGACTACCTCAAAATGTGTCAAGCAAAAAGAGAAAGTCAGGCCAATTGCAATTTTAGTGATTTATTTGTACAATAGGAGTCGCACTGTACAAATACCCCAAGCTCAGATGTAAAGACAAGAACATAACAGCATCTATTCTGCCTGACCTGAACATCCCTCAAACCTCATTGTGAGAATGATGGAAACATACGCAAAAAATAAAAGCTAAAAAAATAAATAAAGCAGCTACCTACTTAAATTATAGGACTAGAGGAGACCCTTCCCAACTGCCAAAGCATACTGAAATTAAAAGGCAAAATAAAAAAAAAAAAAATATATAAAAAAAAATCTCATGTCCAAGTTTAACTGTCCAACCTTTATGGCAGTGGGGCGATTATGGCCTCAGTTTAAACATGTAAAAATGGAACTCACAGTAGACAAACACAGAAAAGGCATATGGTGATATCGCTATCAAGTCCATGTGCCCATGCCACTTACACCACATTTATACACCATCCACAGACAATGTTGTGAGCTTTTCCACACAAGACCGAGTTTCAATTAAAAAAAAAAAAAAAAAAAAAAAAAAAAACACAAAAAGGTGGAACTTCCACTCCAACCCGCCCCCATGTTGAACAAGTTTAGACAGCGACAGAGTGACATGGTCCATTTCAAATCAATATAAACGTACATTCACTCAAATTTCCATTAGTAAATCACTAATGTTACCATGGTAACTCAAATGTTGTATAAAAATATAACAAAGACTGAAAACTAATGCACTCAACAAAAATATATCTACACAGTCTTAAATGTGGGGTGGGGGCTGAGCGACACAGCCAAGAACAGCTCAAATTTCCAATCTATCCTTACTTCTGTGGGATAAGGAATGTATAAGGATCCTCCACTTTTCAAGTCTGAGTAGCAGCAGTCTTTCCCCTCTCACTAACAGTGACACAGTGAAAGCCACGGGTTCCATCGGGACCCCTTGGCAGCCTCATCACCCCTGGTGGCAGGCCGTCAGCATTCTGGATCTTTCTACCCAGCATCGGACTGCCAACCGGACTGCTTTCCTGAGAAGCCACCTGCTTGCGCCGCTGAACCCACGGGCTCCCTGAAGGGGTAAGACTACTGTCTGAGGAGTAGTCTGCCCAACGGCGCCCCGGTTCAGGGCTCAGTCTGCCTTCGCTGACTAAGGGAGACTTGTTGGAATGAGGAGATTTGCGCTGAGAACAGGGACTTGCACGGGGGCTGGACCAGGGACTGTTACGCGGGGACATACCAGGACTCAGGTGATTGTTCTGGAAGCTGATGCTCGCAGTGGTGGGGCTGAGCTTATTGCAGGACTGGGACTTTCTGGTCAGCCTAGGAGACGTGGGGGTACTCTCAGTCTCTGAAGAGCTGCAGGCCGAGTCGTCCCCATGGTACTGAAGCTCTCGTACTCTGCTGTTGAGCGAGCGACTCTTACGCATCCCTCCCTCCTCACGTGGCCGTTCTTTGGTTACCTTCTTCTTGGGTGGTTTGGTGCCAATCAGGACTACTTTCAACCCTAGGGAACTGGCCCCTGCATCCTCGCTCCCCACAGCTTCATTGGCTTTGACAGCAGCCTCCACCTCCTCAAACTCCACAATTGCACATTCCTCAGTACCTAGCTGAGTGTAGCGGCCGCTCAGCCTCTTCAGGTCAGCCGGCAGGTCCTTCCCTGGCTTCAGGACTCTGACAGAGGCGATGGCACCGTAT